GTGCTAGTTTACTTTGAAAGGTTTATAAATCGAAACAATACAACGTCTGTGCCTTTTGGTTATTGAAAGTCTACTAGGCCTGCTGATTTGGTTAGATATGTATCTCATGGTTCCCGCTCTTATCAAAACATACCTAAATATTCAATACTACAAAATTCGTTTATAATTGATTACAAAATGCAGAAGAAAATTTAAGAAAACTTTTTCACAATTTATAGAGACGCATGGGTCGCTATGTCTGACTTAGGTCTTGCAAAACAAAGACGTCTTTTTCCGATATTGAGGCCTAAATATAAAACATGCAAACAAAATATACACTTTCTAGGCTTAAGTTTCGTGTAGACAACTATTATATCTACGTTTAAACAAAAAATAAAAAAAATAAAAAATGGGTTTTTTGAGAAAATCAATTCCAAAAATGATACTTTTTGGTTTTTTTATAATATTAACGTAAACGTACCGCAAAGGATATTTTATACAGCCAAGTCATTTTATAATAAGTATAAATAGCGTGTTTTGGGCTCTCCGTGGACATAAAAAATATCGGTGTAACTCAAGTAGATCGCCAGTAATTAATTGTCAAAGTTTGTCAACAATTGACCGAGGAGGCGTTTTTGACATTTTTACAGAAAAAAAGCAAAATGCCAAAACTTATTTAATGGTATTGGAGCCTTTTAAATGTGTCCACAGAGTGTTTAAAAAAAGACAATATAATGTGGACTGAAAATCCATGGCGGGAGATCAAGCGAAACATCCAACCCACCATTTCGTCGTTTACCCTGAGACTGGGGTTTTTTTTTGAAGAGCAGAAGAAACAGAAAAAACAGACAGGTTTTTTCTGTTTCTTCTGCTCTTCAAAAAAACCCCCCAGTCTCAGGGTAAACGACGAAATGGTTGACTTCCACCAGCTAGCCTGTACTTTGACTCTTTTCTCGTTAATCCAACCCACGACGGGTGTGAAAAACACTGCTTTTCACCGCGGCCTCTTTAAAAATTCATAAGCCGAGAACAAAAAATCCGACGAACTTGCGGTTTGTGTCGACTGCGGTTTTAGAAACGGCGCCATAACATATATTTTTTTCATCTAAATTAAAAATTCGACCCTTTTTGCCTGCACGATTTGAGATGAAACCACCCATATATATGGGTGGTTTCATCTCAAATCGTGCAGGCAAAAAAGGTCGAATTTGTAATTTCGATGAAAAAAATATATGTTATGGCGCCGGTTCTAAAACCGCAGTCGACACAAACCTCAAGTTCGTCGGATTTTTTATTCTCGACTTTTGAATTTTTAAAGAGGCCGCGGCGAAAAGCAATGTTTTTCACACCCGTCGTGGGTCGGATGTTTCGTTTGATCTCCCGCCATGGATTTTCAGTCCACATTATATTATCTTTTTTGAAGCACTCTGTGGACACATTTAAAAGGCTCCAATACCATGAAGTAATTTTAGGCCTTCTGCTTTTTTTCTGTAAAAATGTCAAAAACGCCTCCTCGTTCAATTGTTGACGAACTTTGACAATTAATTACTGGCGATCTACTTGGGTTACACTGATATTTTTTATGTCCACGGAGAGCCCAAAATACGCTCTTTATATCTATTATAATATGACTTCGCTGTATAAAATAGCCTGTGCGGTACGTTTACGTTAATATTATGCAAAAACCAAAAAGTACCATTTTTGAAATTGATTTTCTCAAAAAACCCATTTTTTATTTTTTTTATTTTTTGTTCAAATGTAGATATGATAGTTGTCTACACGAAATTCAAGCCTAGAAAGTGTATATTTTGTTTGCATGTTTTATATTTAGGCCTCAATATCGGAAAAAGACGTCTTTGTTTTGCAAGACCTAAGTCGGACATAGCGACCCATGCGTCTCTATGAATTGTGAAAAAGTTTTCTTGATTTTTCTTCTGCATTTTGTAATCAATTATAAACAGATTTTGTGGTATTGAATATTTATGTATGTTTTGATAAGAGCGGGAACCATGAGATACATATCTAACCAAATCAGCAGGCCTAGTAGACTTTCAATAACCAAAAGGCACAGACGTTGTATTGTTTCGATTTATAAACCTTTCAAAGTAAACTAGCACGACTAGCTATTAGCTGTCATATTACTAAGACAAAGAAAGTCACCACATCGTCGATATATTATATGCCATTCTTTACGAAACCAAACACTGGGGCTTGTTCACCGCACATCGCACAGGTCACCAGGGAATGTCCTTTCACTTCCGTAATACACAAAAGTGGTGACACAGAAACGGTCCGAAACACACAGAGAGTGTGTCATGCAGAGGGGTAGGAAATAAAAATAAATAAATAGGAATTAAATTGCCCAACTCCAATCTTAACGAAAATTGCGTTAAAAAAAATAAATAAAGTATTTAGGTTCGAGCGGTGGCAAGGCGATAGGTCCACGCCTGGTGGAGAGTCAGACAAAGAGGTCGACGACACGTAAAGGTAAAAACAAAAACACAAAGTTTAATAAAAACGGGAAAACTCAGCCGCACATGGCAAGTACAAAAACCAACTCCCCCCGGGCATTCCCTAAACGGGACGCAACTAAATGCGTGCGAACACGCTCTCTACATCACCGCCAGGCCGCTACGCCATGACGAAATAAACCCAACAACTGAACAGTGCTAACAAACAGTTAGTAAAAAAACATTGAAAAAAAAAAAAACCTTCAGAAAAAAACGCACTCGAGAAACAAAGTTCAGCGGGGCGAAGAAACACACACGAGTCGGTCCCACGACATTGAAGTCTGGCAGGATGACGGCGTCCAGATGATGCTCGAATCTGTTCCTCCCTCTATTACGCACATCCACGACGGCTGTGCGGAACAGTGGCTGTACGAAAGAAAGTGAAGAATAGATTCAAGCAGGCGATGCGCGAGAAGGTAACCGAGACTATGCTTCAAGCTTCATATCCGGAGAGGAGCTTTCGAGGTAGTTTCTGCAGTTACTAAAACTTTCTCTTTTTCTTTCGCTTTTTCAAAAGAACATGTCAGCCGGCGCTAACGTTTCATCTCAGGAGAAGCCCACTCTTCACAAACGGTTATAGTTGACAAGGAGGCTGACTTCGACCCAACTAGTCTCCGGGCAGAGTACAAACACAAATATATTTACCAACACGCTCGTTTTAATGACAGTCTCCGGGCTTTGCTGTTTCCAAAAGAGGTAACCCTTTATAAGGACAGAACGAGCGGGTTGGTGGGGATAATTAAACTTAAACACCCCCTTCTCGTTTTCTTCCTCAAGTTTAATAGATAACCCTTCGGTGCTATCGGATCTCACCGGAGAGAGAGAGAGAGCACGGCCGTTTCAAGGTAAGGATAGGGCGCTCGAAGCTAGGGCAAACAGGCGGTATCGTTTCACGCATGCACGGATGGCTGGTTTCAAATTTCTCCACATCCCTAATGAAACCGGCCCATCTTCGTGTGTGCGTCTGCGGGATTTCTGTCCCGCGCCGCCGGTTTTAGCGCGCACGCGGCGTTGTTTTGGCTGGCAGAACAGTTGTTGACCGTCGACATTGTAAGGCCGTGGTGTCCTCATCCTTTCAGGCAACGATTCCTTTGCTTTCCCTTGTGCAATACTCTGACAGACTCCTCCTGGGTGGCTGTCACTGTTCGCCGCGTCAACGACAGAATCGTACCATTTCACTCCTCGTGACACAGGGTGCGCTGCTCGCTTTACTGTCACGGGCCGTCCCATCTAACACAACGAGCGCGAAAGATCGTGGTCATCTGCTGGCTCCGAAAGGGCGGGACGTTCATGCAGGCCAATGAGGGCCCCGAATCAATAAGACGTCTGCCGACTCCTACACGTTAAAAATTTACGACACCTGCTGGTCTGTTAAGAAGTGTTGCTTTCTCTTTTTGGAACTCCTCCGATGTAGCTTGCCGCCTATAATAAAATTTAAATAATCAATAAATATATCAGGGTGGAAATACTGTATTTCATTTTTATGTGGGAACGTTGAAAAAAAGAAAAAAACTATTTCCAAGCTTGTGAAGACGCGCAATTCGCAAGTCCATTTCGAGCCGTAAAAACACGTTTTTGTACGATATTGATGCTTAAATGTAGAACATACAAACAATATATACACTTTCTAGGCTTGATTTTCGTGTAGACAACTATCATATCTACATTTGAACAAAAAATAAAGAAAATAAAAAATGGGTTTTTTGAGAAAATCAATTTTAAAAATGGTACTTTTTGGTTTTTTTATAATATTAACGTAAACGTACCGCAAAGGATATTTTTTACAGCCAAGTCATTTTATAATAAATATAGAGAGCGTGTTTCGGGCTCTCCGTGGACATAAAAGATATCGGTGTAACCCAAGTAGATCGCCAGTAATTAATTGTCAAAGTTCGTCGACAATTGACCGAGGAGGCGTTTTTGACATTTTTACAGAAGAAAAGCAAAAGGCCTAAAATTATTTCATGGTATTGAAACCTTTTAAATGTGTCCACAGAGTGCTTCAAAAAAGATAATATAATGTGGACTGAAAATCCATGGCGGGAGATCAAGCGAAACATCCGACCCACGACGGGTGTGAAAAACACTGCTTTTCGCCGCGGCCTCTTTAAAAATTCATAAGTCGAGAACAAAACATCCGACGAACTTGCGGTTTGTGTCGACTGCGGTTTTAGAAACGGCGCCATAACATATATTTTTTTCGTCGAAATTAAAAATTCGACCCTTTTTGGCTGCACGATTTGAGATGAAACCACCCATATATATATATATATATGTACTTCCATCTTCCTTAATACAGTTGTGAGTAGCGCCCGTGTCTGTCTTCTATCTTGTGCACGTCTTTTTAGTGCTTTTAACCATGGTTCAATGCAGAGCATTAAACAGTTCGAGCAGTTTGAATGGTGTTTTTTGTGTGTGGTGTGATCTTTGTTCAGCTGGCCCATCGAAAGGTTCAGCCGTATCCGTCCATCCACCGCGAATAGACAAGTTTGAGAATGACTCTCGATGCAGGGGAGACCCATGCCCCCCGCCAGAAAGCAGCGTCGACGACGGAACAAGGCCTCGTCTAGACAAGGCATGCGTGAGCGAGACGTCCCCAAGGTCTGTACATTGAAGTCCGACCACAGCCGATCAGTCAAGCAGCGCTAAATGGTCCATCATCGTCACTTGGCTGGGTCCCCTATCACCGGCTGAACCAATCACGCACGACGCATTGAGCATTTTCCCCGCGCCTGATTGGTTAAGCCGCTGTTAGAAAATCCCACAAAGACGATGAGTGCCGTGACGACGCACTTTTGGAGCTGGAGCGCAAGTTCGTCTGCTTCTTTTGAAAAGGCTGTGGTGACGTCAAAACGGCGAGCTCTGATTGGTTCTGATTGAAGGATAGTAGGTAGACCTCAAGGCAGCTAGCTTTGAAGTCTACCCCCTACCCTTCAATCAGGGCCAATCAGAGCTCGGCGTTCTGACGTCACCACAACCCTTGCAAGAAAAAGCAGACGAACTTACACTCCGCATTGTCTCCATTGGATCGTTGCGTCGGCTCTTTTTATCGCCCGTTTTTGAACCTTTCACGGCGTCGTCTTTAGACCGCCAGTCGCTGCCAGTATCGCTCTTGGAGATTAGCGAGCGAACCTGCCGCCGCAGCTTCCTATTCTAGCCGCTAGGTGCCGTCAATTTCGCTAGAGTCGCCAAGGGGGACAGTTAAAAAACACCCATCTAAAAAGAGGAGAATTTTTTTTATTTATTTGCTTGGATAAGAAACGTGTCACAAAATGAACTTTCCACGAGCATAATTTATAAAGAAACGTTTTAGCAAAACATTTACGTCCCGAGACAGCATTACAAATTAATAGCGATTAATTAAGATACATCCTTAAAAGTGTACTCCGGCGATTTTCGAGCTGTCTCAACTAACTATATTTTCGGAATCACCGGCCTTTATGCCTTCCGGTATGCTATTTAGTATCGCGAAATTCAGACTAGTTTTTGTGGAAACGATGCCAAAACCAACATTCAAATATACCCGCGCTCTTTGATACCGTGACGTCAGGGGAAGGCAGGCTCGCAGGTTGAGCAGGCAGTCTGAAATGGGCTATGCCGAGCATTTGTTTCGTGATGATGCGCGGGTCCTGGAGCGAGCTTTCGAAGCATTCATTCTGACACCATGAAAGTGCTTGTAATTGTTTGATGTTCCGAGGGTCCGTGCCGCCCGTGCCTTGAAGGTATGGGCGGAGTGAGCGAGGCCGTGACCGACATGTATCAAACCAGCAAACACTTTAATCCCGAGGATCAACTAATTATTTCCGAAGACAGGGGGCGTCACAGAGTGGTGGCAGATAATTCATACCAAGAATAGGTGGCAACCTGTACATCTCCCCCCTTTAAGAAAGATGGAAGGTGGAAGCAGTTCGCAAAATTTAAGTTCACAAATTCAAACGAGCCGGCGGAGTAACACGTCGGCATCTGCGAGTTCTCACAACACCATCGCTGTCCCTTGGGACTGGGACCGGATCCGTGGCCGGCCGCGGCTCTGTCGGGCTTGCAGGTTGTCGTGGTGAACCAGGAACGTCGACGTGCTGCGCTGGCTCAGGTAGATCCTGAAGTTGTTCTCCCTCACCGGAAACGCACGAGGTGGCGACGGTCCCGTTGATGAGCGCCACCGCGTTCAGTTTCGACAACGTAAAGGCCCATTCACACTCTTGCGACCGACTTCGACCGAGAGAGACCAGACCGGTTTTTAAGCCTTTTGCGACTTCTTGGGACCGGATGCGGTGCAGCGGAGCTGGTCCTAAGAAGTCGCAAGAGGCTTAAAAACCGGTCTGGTCCCTCTCGGTCGTACTCGGTTGCAAGAGTGTGAACGGGCCTTAACACCGTGGTCGCTGAGTAGGACTCAACACCGTTGCCCGCACTTGTTCAGGTCTCACACAGACCTGCTCACCGGCTCCAAGTGAAGGCAGGTTCCTCACCGCTCGACGTCAGTTCTAGTCTGCTATCTGTTGTTTCTTGTAGGATACATCTCTGCTGGCGACCTCATCTCTCGGAGGCCAGTTTTGACTGAACTGTTCTTTCTTCTTTGGAACCCGAGTTCTCAGCTGCCTTCCCAGTAATAGCTGGGCAGGACTGAAGCCGTTCATTCCCGGTGTGTCCCTGTAGCTGAGAGGCGCTAGATGATGGTCCTCTGCTTGCGGAACAAGTCTTTTACTGTCCGGATAATTCCTTCTGCCTCTACATTCAATTGCGCGAAGTGAGGACTGCTTGTCACACACTCAAAAGCATAGAGAGTCGCGAAGGATGCAAACTCCCGAGATGAGAATGGTGGACCATTATCGGTTCTGACCCGTTGTGGAATTCCATGGCGAGCGAACATGCTCTTGAGTATGTCGGTAACAACTTGCGCTGTCGTGCTTCTCCGGTTGTTGCGATAGGCCTTGGTCAAAGTCACGTTCCTTCCTTTCTCCCCTTCTTACCCCCCCCCCCCCCCCCCCGGTGGGTGTGTACATCTAATTGAACGACGGCGACGGGCCATCTAGGCCGTCAACGACTGGCTACCTCGCCCGGCGCCATGTTGACGTCGCGACACCAGGACGAAAAATTAAGCCGCCTAATTACCAAAGGGAAGCGGAGACCGCGACGAGCAAGATTTCGAGCGGCGGCGCCAACTGTGGAGATCAGACCTCGGACACAATGGACGGGGCAAGCTCCCGATGTGGACTTCCGCGAAGGACGACCATTCCTCGAACAGTTCGTATTATCGTCTGCCGCCTAGTGGAGCCATCACAATCCGTCTGCTGCGACATTGTGTGGGTGTGTGTGTATGTGCGTGCTCGATGGGTGAACCGGGGTGGAGCCAGGCTTTGTAACGTTTGTTGGCAGCTCGGCGACCATTGGCTGCCAACCGCTGGGGCACCGAACAGCGACCTTGTAAAAGGAGCGAACAAGATGTCGCAAAGGTGCTCTTGGACGATGTTGATACTTCTGTAAATATGTATTAAGCAGAGTTTATTGTGAGAGACCCTCCCGTTTCGTGATCTTCCTGCCCATGGAGTCGTCCTGTGGTTCCTGTCCTGGCCTGGCCCTGCCTGATCCGGCCTGGGAACTCCTCGTTCGGAACAAGGGTCAATATCTCCGGAAAGCGAGAGTAGTAGTCCACCACTAGGGTGAAAGTTTGTCCATTGAGGTAGAAAAGGTCCATGCCCGGAATTTCCCACGGACGACGAGGAAAACCGGTGGGAATTAACGGTTCTGCCAAGTTCACACGTGTAGACGCACATTGTTCGCAGTTGGTGACCACAGAGGATCTCGTCAGTTATGCCGGGTCACCATACCGATTCACCAGCCCGAGCTTTGATGCGATTTATGCCTTGGAGTCCCTCGAGTATCAGCTTCAGCACTGCCGGCCGTAGCGAAGGGGGGATGACTAAGCAAGCACCTTTCAAGAGAAGACCGTCACAGACGGAGAGTTCCTCCATCACCGGAATGAAAATACAGCGCAAACAGAACGACGGACCAGTAGAAGAGTATACACACAGACAAAGCGCAGACTTGCAACTGAAATTTGATAAGAAAAACATGAAGGCCGCGGAAAAACCCGAACAATCCACCGCAGGACGAGGGAAATAACGGAGGAATTTTACATATCACGGTGTGGGGAGGGTACGTGTGTCAGCGCCCCCTCTGTGGCCCTCTATCAAAGAAAGATAAAATATCTCGACCAATGGGAACATGGTGTGTGGTGATGTGGGTGTGGTGGATTGTTCGGGTTTTTTCGCGGCCTTCATGTTTTTCTTATTAAATTTCAGTTGTAAGTCAGCGCCTTGTCTGTGTGTATACTCTTCCACAGGTCCGTCATTTTGTTTGCGCTGTTTTTTCATTCAGATGCATCACCAACTCGCCCAGATTTCTACGCTTCTACAGTTCCTCCATCACCGAAGCATACTTTCCGAGGTGCAGCGGTTAATCTGGATTTATGTGGCCACTCGCGCAGGCAATAGGAGATAAGTGCTTTGCACTCGCCATCGGAACCTTGCGCTTTCCTCACGTCCTCCAGGTTGACCGGTAGCAGTTCGGAGGTGCAGCCCACAACCTCTGTTGCGAAGAGCTCCAGAGTGTTCAAGGGACAGGATGCCTTCGAAGGGATCCGTGACAAGGTATCCGCTGTAGCCAGGACCTTTCCAGGCACGTTGTACAACTGGAACTGGTAGCGCATGGTCTTGAGCCTTACCTTCTGCACCCGTGGAGGTAGAGCGTCAAGCTCCATTTTGCCAAACAGTGAAACGAGCGGTTGGTCATCCGTCTCCACATTAAAGTTGATGCCGCGGACGAGCTCGTCGAACCGCTGGGTAGACACCGTCGCCAAGGCCTCCTTTACCAGTCGCCTTCGCCTCGCGGTCGACGACAGTCGACCGCGAGGCGAAGGCGACTGGTCGGCATTCTCCCGATGGCTGCGTCTGCAGCAAGACGACGCCAAGTCCAAAAGAACTTGCGTCCGCTGAAACCGTTGTGGCATACACCAGGTGGTACTTGGCCATGTACCGGTCTGACGTGAGCAGCTCCTTGATCTTGGTAAACGCTGCCTTCTGCTCATGCTGCCAAGTTCAATTTGTAGATTTATTCAGGAGAACTCGTATTAACGCGCGCTTTGTCTTACCTGCCTTGATTTGCCTTGCCTAGCCTTTGCTTTGACTTGTTTTCCCTCGCTTAGCTTTGCTTTGCCTTGATTGTCTTGCGCTTTGACTTGCCTAGCCTTGCTTTGCTTATCTTTGCCTTGCTTGGCTTTTCCTTTAAAGGGGTACTCCACCGATTTTTTGAGCTACCTCAACTAACTATATTTTCTGACTCCCCGGCCTTTACTCTCTCCGGTATGCTATTCAGAATCGCGAAATTCATAATAGTTATTGCGAAATCGGCAAATGAAAATGATGCAAAAACCAACATTCAAATATACGCGCGCTTTTCAGGGCCGTGACGTCAGTGGCAGGCAGGCTTGCCAGTCGAGCAAGCAGCCAAAAAATAGAATATGCCGATCATTTGCTCCCTGCTGGAGCGCGGGTACTGCAGCGAGCTTCCCAAGCATTCATTTGACACCATGAAACTCCTTCGAA